AATGCAGCGCCATGAATTCATTACGCCCATGTGTAAATAAGCACTTCTGCATCGAATAAATCCAATTACTAACTTATTTCATATATGTATTCTCACACACAAGATGTAAACAGATGAAGCACAAAGGAAGCAGCAGATTTTTTATTAAAATTCTGCTAACAAAATGACATAAATCGAGAAGGAAACTCGCCAGTTCAGCCATATAAACCAGAAATTGAAACGAGATTTGGAATCCACCTCTCATTCTATCTTCATGAGTCCTAAAATCGGTAATTTGAGAGGAGAAAATGAAGGGGTCAGAGACAGAGAAAATGAGGAGTGGAGTTAAAAGTCGGGTTTGGTTTGGTTTTAAGATTTTTTTTTATTAATATGAAGGACTGGTCGGGTCGGGTCGGGTCTTTTGGTTTAACTCGCAACCCGACCCGTCTTCAACGCTCCAAACCCGAACCCAACTAAAAAAATTGAAAAAAATCGATCCAACCCGATCAATTTGGATTGGGTTGGACGGGTTGAGCGGATTGGACGATATTTTGCCAACCCCTAAATTAATGACAAATAATGGGGGTGAAACGGATGCTAAAATCCAGCTGTAGTCCGGCCTAAGTCCTCTCTGATACTCACCGAAGAGCTGAGTTTCCAATAACATAAACTCCAAAAGAAACTCCCAAACAAAGCAAGAAAAGGTGAAATTACAATGAGTGTGATCGACATTTTGACTCGGGTGGATGCGATCTGCAAGAAGTATGACAAATACGACATTGAAAAGTCTCCAAAAGAAACTCCCAAACAAAGAAAGAAAAGGTGAAATTACAATGAGTGTGATCGACATTTTGACTCGGGTGGATGCGATCTGCAAGAAGTATGACAAATACGACATTGAAAAGCAGAAGGATTCCAACGTCGCCGGCGATGACGCATTCGCCCGCCTTTACGCCGCCGTAGAGTCCGACATCGAGGCTGCTCTTCAGGTATTATAATAGAATCCCTAAATTTTCAATTTCTTTTGAATCTATTTGAAAAGTACTGCTGGAATTTTGATTGTTTATGTTTTATTTCTTTGATTTTGGCAGAAAGCGGAGACTGCTTCGCAGGAGAAGAGTAGGGCGTCAGCTGTGGCGATCAATGCGGAGATTCGGAGAACGAAGGCCCGGTTGTTGGATGAGGTCCCTAAATTGCAGAGATTAGCTGTCAAGAAGGTAAGATTCAGCGTGATTTCTTTTATTCTCTTAGTAGATTCTGTTTCCCATGTTTTTTTTATTCAATTTGGTGAGCTGTATTGAATTCAATTACTGCATCTGTAATACTTTTTGTTTAAAATTATTTATTACCATCTTGTCCTTGTCATGTTTATGATATCAGTTGCTGGATTTTTTACTGGGTATGAGTTCGCTTTTGTATATGTATATTTATTAATATTAGAAATGTGTTTTAATTTGGAATTGCAACCATCCGAGTTGAGCGCAAAGAACCTTTAATGGAAGGAAAATTTGTCGGATGCTGAATGGTCTTTTATTTAATTCAGCATTACATGCATGGTTTGATGTATTTGAGAGTTACGGTTGTCTTTAGCTGATAGTAAATCCATGCCTGTGCAAATCTCATTTGTATTTTCACATTTGTTTAACTGATCCTCTCCATGTTGCTTTCTTTTAAGACCCCCTGCCCAAAATCATGGAGTAATGATACAGGAAGAAAAATCTTAGTATTTCATTCAAAAACTAACAGCTGTTTGGTTCACTATTGATACGGGAGCAAACTAAGGAGTATATGAGCCTTGGAATTCATTATAAAATTACTTACAACCTCTAAATCTCAAAGCTTCTCCACTTGATTACTTTTGTTTCTAGCAACTTTTGATCTACATGTTTCAACATTAATGATACTTAGGACATAAAAATCCACATCTATAAAAGCTTTGTAGCCTTGGTCCACTCCTCCATTTTTTCTTATCAATTTGCAACGTTGAAGGAATTGATATAATTTGAGATTTACTTTTTAATAAGCTTGGCTTCCTCTGGACATAAAACCTTTATAATGTCATCCAATTTGTTTGAACATGTGAATTCCGTAGTATACAGGATAAACGTGTCTGTAAGTATATCTAGAACTGTATGCTAATATGTGTTGTAACACACAATTTAAGTATTTGTTGATCACGTACCTTTAGATAGTGGGATGGGCGAATGTCTTTGGATAGAAATTTTGGAAATGGAACGTTAATCAGAACCAAGTGTGCTGTAATGCTGTTTAGTTAGTAGGCTGCTTTTGGAAATATGATGGACAGTGCTTGATTTAACAATGATGCTTTTGGCTTCACAGTTGAAAGCTAATTTTGTTGACTTTCTTATGCCGGCCTGCGCCTTCAATGTGAATGAGTAGTTGGACTAAGAGTGTTGCTTCTGTAATGATAGTTTTACCCGTATCTGCAATGCTTGTACTTATCTTTCTCTGATTTGTGATTGAAGTCCTCCCAATTTCACTGTCACACGACAGTTGCTGGTTTCTCTTTCCCTGTTTGCTATTTCTGCTGTCTCACACTGTATTTTCACCTGAGGCAACCAAGCAGGAGCCTGACCTTTCAGAGTTTGCTTGTGTAATAAGTATTCTCTCAAGTGCAGGTTAAGGGACTTTCAACAGAAGAAATTGCTGCCCGTAACGATTTGGCACTTGCATTGCCTGATAGGATTCAAGCAATACCAGATGGTGGTGCAGCTGCACCCAAGCAATCAGGAGGTTGGGGAGCCTCAGCTCCTCGTAAAGAAATTAAATTTGATTCAGGTCGTAGGTTTGATCTTCTATGTAATCAAATCTTTTTCTAAGCCTTCAGTCTATAGTATAGTTGTTAACTTGTGCAATATAAATGAATTCTAGATGGACGGTTCGACAGTGAATATTTTCAGCAAACTGAAGACTCAAGTCAGTTCAGACAAGAGTATGAAATGCGGAAAATGCGACAGGTTTGGGTTTTTCCGGAATATCATATTGTAGACTTGTTTTGGCAAAGATTTTACCAATGTTCAATTGATTACAATGTGTTCCTTTTGTGCTCCTGGATTTAATTTACAGTACTTTCATCTTGATGCAGGACCAAGGTTTGGATGTCATAGCAGAAGGTCTGTATACTTTAAAAAACATGGCACATGACATGAATGAGGTGATGTATTCCTGATTTTTGTCTGTTTTCTCCGCTATCTATGGATATTAACAAAATACAGTGCATTGCATGCAGGAATTTGACAGGCAAGTTCCTCTGATGGATGAGATTGACACCAAGGTTAGGAATTTTGTCAATCTTGTTATTATTTAAATGTAAGAGGGCAGTTATCAATACGTTAGTAGTGGAAATCTGATTATGTAATTGGTTCCATCATGTCCTCCTGGACCATAATAGATTTATTAACATTAAGTTCATTTACATTGTTATTAATTAAGACGATACATAATTTCTAGTATCTGGATCTTCATCAAATTACTCATCGTGAAAAAGAAGAATCAAGTTTCATGAACAAAAAACCAACAGCTTTGTCAGTTGTCCGTCACGTAATAGATTGCTAATTGCAACTCTTCTAACATAATTTTATTACATAGCAAATGGGTATGTAATGTGATTTTGCAACTCTGCATATAGCTGTACTGTATGAAATAATTCTTAGCCAATGGTGTCTGTTCTCTTCGCATCTTTCAGGTGGACCGGGCAACATCTGACCTTAAAAATACCAATGTTAGACTTAAGGACACTGTTAACCAGGTAAGTTGAGCTTCAACTCGTTATTTTTATTTATGGATTGAACCTAGCTGCATGCTGCACACTGTAGTCACTGTGTTTGATGGAGCTTTCGGTTTTGTACCAGCTGCGATCTAGTCGTAATTTTTGTATCGACATCATTTTGCTGTGCGTTATTCTTGGCATTGCAGCCTATTTATACAAGTAAGTTCTCAGTTCGGTTCTAATTTAGGTGATAACTTTTTGGCATACTTCAAAAACTCCATCTATTCTTCTTTTCATATTGGTTACTTTAGAACACAATTTGCCCGGTCTGTCTACGACTCTACATAAAAGAACAATTATTTTAACTGACAAGAAAACAATTTGCACTCAATCCTCTGCTTGACTACTTTTTAAGGTTGAATCCTCAAACCATATTTGTTGTATTTGGTTTAGTTTTCATTTATTAAATTCCTGTAAGTAGTTTTTCTATTTCAAAGCTCCTTTTTAAAATTAAAATTATGTTTGGTTGTCATAGATACTGTTTAGAAAATAAATTATCTAAAGTATCAAATACAAGTGTTAAAAATATACTCAAAGAACTTTCAAGGATGAGAAGATGCATAACAAGAAGAGGAAGACAGAATGAGGAGATGAAGGGAGATGAGAAGGGAAAAAGAGGCAGTTAGTTTGCTGGCTACTGATAAAAAAAACTCATAACACAAAATTACCACGTTTTGGAGATTTTGAAAATCGTTTTAGAAACCAAAAAAATAAGTGGGTAATGCCTTAAGTGTAAAATTTCTTTTCGAATAATGCTTTAGAACACTAGGCAGCCATACTTAATAGGTGTAATTAAATGAGTCATGTGTCATTGCATTTAAATGAATCAATCATTTAATGCCATCTATGTTGTCATCTAAACTTGTGTTAAATACCAGTGACGCTAAATAACATTCTATTTTCGTTAGTTATATAAACAGAAATACCAAAAACGGAACAGAACAAAACACCTAACCCTTACCATCGTTTGCACATATAACCTGCCTATAACAGTTTTAATGCTCATTTTATGTCCTTTGCAGTGTATTGAAGAAGTAAGAAGTGGTTTCAAGAGCTTCCAGATGGTACCGTTCGACTTTTTCGTATTGGTTTCAAGAGCTTCCAAATGGTACCGTACGATGGTCTCAATTTCTTCTGCATTTTGAGATGTTGCTGTGTTCTTGGTTGTATATTTTGTTAGATTATAAAGTTCATCAGAGTTTTCATGCGTAAAACATGCCTCCTGCTTTGGAAATACTAGATAATTCGTTGTGTATTACAGTGACATTTCTTGATTCTCCTTTCGCTCTATATTGATACTTGTATTCAAGTGTGTAAACATCTTTAGTGACATTTGAAATATGAAATTTCTTTGTATTCAAGTGTATCCAATCTCTATCCCTCTGCCTTGACAATTTCGGAAAAAACGGAAGAAAGAAAAAATATTTTCTTTTTTAATAAAATGATCGACGAAAAATATTTTGATTGAATAATGTGATCAACATTGGATACCATGTTCTGTAAATAGACAGGCCCATGTGTGGTTAGTCCCAACAAAATGGAATTGTCTGCCGTGGGACAACGTGCAACTTGTGCAATTTTTTAGTCAGTTGATAATCCTGTGAAAAAACCAAAGAGTTTATGACAAAAATTTATGTTTGTGGACACTTAACAGCCTGTTTGACATGGATATTTTAAAAATGATTTTGTGAAAAGTGATTTTTTTGGAGAACGTGAGAATAAAAAACCTACTAAAAAAGTTGTGCGCGTCAAATTATTTTATTTGGAGAATATGTGGTTAATATGAATTGATGAAAAACTGAGTTATAAAGATTTTGTATCGAAAATGAGCTTAACGTTCGTGAGAAATTATTTGAAGTGAAAAATAATGTTTTTGAGAATGTGTGATTCAAAAGTAAGGAAAATTTATAAATTTACGTATAAAATTATTTTATTAGAAATATATGTGAGAAGAAATGAGTTCGTAGAAATACGATTTTCAAATAGATTGTACCAAACAAACTCTTAATAAAAAGAGCTTTGCTGCACAACCCGAAAAAAAATTATCAGAATTGCAACATACCAATCACGAAAGGGTGAGGCCCGCACATTTTTTTTCTTTTTAAATACATGGTCGGGCCCACATTTGTCTCTATTCTGGTGTCGTTCTGGTTATTTTTTTTGTACAAATACTTTTTCTCCAATAAAAAAGCCAAACACCGAATTATAATGTTTCTATTCGCTCGATCAACCTCTAAGTCAACATATCTCATATTAGTTTTGTTGAGATTGACTCGAGCTTGATTCGGTTAATACTCATCTGAATTGAGATGGTGACCGATAAAATTATAGAAGAAAAATAAATTAGATTTCTTTGTAAATCTATAAAAACTAATATAATCAGTTCATTATAGATGCATAAAAAACGAATTAGGGTTGGTAATACATGCATAGGACTATAGGCATCTTGAAAAAGAGTGATTTTTTCAACTAATGATGCTTGTTATGAATCTAATGGAAATCCTAGCAAACACTAATACTAAAGTTGTTCGATTCACACGAGGAATACGTAAGACAAAAATTCGTTGTAAATACATTTTTCAAACAACAAAATGCAGAAAGCAAGAATACTTATCAAACAATCGAGATTCGTGGCAGTATGATATCCTAAAATAAAATTTCTTGACGTTAACTTCTGCGACATCTTTGGACAATCACCTCAAGATACAACGATCGAATCAACTTGTGCAACAATCACAAGAAATTTTCAAAAGTCTCGAGTTTTATTCGAGAACAAAACAAAATTAAAATAACTCTTAAATTGATTTTGCATAAATGTACATAAGATGAAAAATGTTTTCAATGTGACCTACCACGTAAATTTCATATCTTTTGTCACTTGGCCATCAATCCCAATTTAAATATCTCTTTCAAATAATATATTTGATATATATCTAATAGAATCCATGCAAAGATGGATTCAACAAATGTGGTATATGAGTCAGCTATGGTTTTATTGTGGGACCGTTGTGTTACATATGCATGTGAATGATAGTTTTCTTTGCCCCTGATTAAAGGTATTTGTTCTTAAATTTTTATCATATATATTGTGTACTCTACATGCTTTATAAGTAGATTGTAAATTTATGAAGCATAGTTTATTATCTCGATTGCGCGTAGTGGTAACTGTTGTTCTTGACAAAATGTTACGATTTTTAAAATAAGAATATGCGGTCGTTAATGAAAATACTTCACAAATACGGAAATATGAAAATACATGTTGGGTATATATGGAAAAACAAGAGGAAATAATTCACTTGGTATTAGGATCCAAGTGCATGGAGCCAAAAGTACATAATTCAAATATTATTATTGTAACTCCCACATTGATTCTATAGGTAACAAGTATTGCAAGAAGTCAAGAATAATTCAAGTGAAAAGTAGAAGAAATTTATTATTAGTTTGACTTCAAGACATGGTTCCCAATTTTGTTGCTAAATTATGATGGGGGTGCATGGACCTAATCCTTTTTTATAGTAAGTTAGATGGGATAGAGAAATTCATTCTAAACCTCATTATTATTATGTTGAATTGATTTTCGATGCTCGTTTGACATTGTGACATGACTTGTCTATTTGACGTGGCAAAACTACTTAATACTTCTTGCAATTTTGAGAGAAGACCAAACTTCGGCGGGTTAGTTCCCTAAATGGTCACTGATATTTTCCTAAAGTTCCCATGGGATCATTGAACTTAAAAAATTGTCCATGTTAGTCACTTAATTTTGAAAATTGGAATCACATTCATCACTGCGCAAACGACGCTTACATGATTGGAAGAATTTGATGACATTGAGCATGAGTCTAAAAGTATGTGGCTATTTTTTTTTTTTTCACAAATCGTCAAATGCATATTTGGATATTTATTTAATGACTTTTGAATGCATGGTTTTATCCAAATGTAGAGCTTAAACTTTATGAGCTGGATTATTAAGTTTCGAACTAATCATAGCATGATTTATATAAAAATTTGATTTATAGTTTCCAAATGCGTGCCATGTATACCATATCATTAGACATGTCATCAAATCATTTCAATTTTGCAAGCGTCATTTACGTAGTAATGGATGAAGTACCAATTTTCAAAGTTAAATGACTAACATTAACGGTTTTTAAGTTTAGTGACCCCACGAGTCTTTAAGAAAAGTTCAGTGACTATTTAGGAAATTAATACAATCTTTGGCTAAGAGCTTCAACAAAATAGTACCCCTTAACTTATATTAATAACATGTTTAGAAAATGTTTATAAATAGATAGAAATGGATGATGAATAAATGAGTCGTACTTTTGGGTTTATTATAAATGTGTAAATAAAAAATGACTCGAATGTTTATAAATAAATTATACACATGAGCCAAACATAGACTAAGGTAGTCAATAATTGATGTTGAAATATAGTGCCATATAAGAACGACAAATCTTGAGTTAACCAATACGACAGAAATACTCACAACTTGATGAGTTCGGACTTAATGATAAGTCGAAGCTAACACACTCTCACGACATTAAACTCAATAAACCATGCCTTACCTATGCTTACACATGATGAATTTGACATGATGTAGGCGTAGTGCATACAATCAAAGGAGCGCGACACAAATTACGTGTATAAGAATTTCTCAAAAACATGTCAAGACACCCAATAAAATATCAAGGAAACTAGCAAAGTCGCCACCGCGGTGTCCGCTTCCTTTATAAATATCATGCAACATCTTACCATCACTAATTTAAAATGAAATCTAAGTTTTAATAGACATGAATTTTACAAGAAGCCCATAAAACAGCTATAAAATATACGTGTGATGAATATCAGTAACATGCATGTGACTTTTGACTGTTCGACACGAAGAGTTTAATCACATGATTAATCAACCCAGAAAAAGTAATCTCAAATCACTGCATAAAACTGCACATTCAGACAACTGTATCCATAAAGAGGAAGACAGGCAGACGGGTCACGGGTGGCTGAAATCCCTCGGGAATTGCAAAACTCTTTCTGCCAGAACTGTTCCCCATCCTGCAGTAATTTGTAGGTCTGGCTTTAATTATGTTGTAATCATTTTATACACCATCATCCAATCGCCTATAAAGGCAACTCACTTTTTACTTGCTTTCAAATATTTTTCCATTGAAACAAACAAACATGTTTGGCAAAGCTTATTATTCACATGATCAAATACACTTTCACACATTCGCAGGTTAAAAAAACTTATAATCACTTCCAAACATGCTTTAATATGTTAAAATTTAGAACTTGAATTTAGTTGGGACTGAAAAACGAATCAACACTGTAGCTAACTCAGAATCAGTTAAATTTTAATTTAGTCCAATTTAGTTACCGTTCTAAACTTCAGTTGTTCGAGAAAGATTTCCCAACCTGTGTATCGAGCAAGAGGTTAAAAAATTTCCTGTTGATATAAGTCACCAAAATTTAACAAATTGTAAAGAGATGTTAAATAAAAGTAGTAGTAGATCTTGTATAATCAGATTATTTTTCAATTAACTTGATTGGATATGGTTGGACATATTCAAATTCTTTACCATATTATTTTATTCCTTGTTCACAAACGACACACAGCTCTATACATTCTGGTTACAAGCATATACAGCCAATGCATACGTACAAATATAGAAGAGCAACTGGGTGGGGTGGGGTGGGGTGGATGGGGTGAGGGGTTGGTCCATCAGCTAAATCAATGGCTGACCGAGTTTGAAAATTCATAGGAGAGATAAAGAAGACAAGACGTTGAAGAAGAAACTTGCAAGAGAGAGAAAGAGAAATATTCTCTTTTGCTTTCATTGAAATCCAAACAAAGCTAGCACTTCATCAGATCTCTGCAACAAGAGTACGAAATTTTTAAGATTATTGTTTTTTTTTTAGTGTTTTAATAATTATTCATTCAAGTTTTCTGTTTGGGAATTTGGGTCTATCTTTCTTCTTCTTTTGGCATAATCTGATTATAGTTTAAAGATGTGAATAACACCAAAGGTTTTATCTGTTTGTATTTGAAGAAACTCTTTGTTTTCTTTTGTTTTCAAGCAAGCAAAGCTCGAGCTTCCTTCGCCTTCAACTGATACTGAAATCATGTCTGTTGATGGGTTTTCCATTGCCAACATGTTTCCTCAAGAACCAGAGACAAACCCTATCCCTCAATCAAATTCAAACCCTACTGCAAAGAAGAAGAGATTACCAGGAAACCCAGGTGAATTTTGATGTTTATATTTGGTACACGGACATACTCGAACTTCTTTTTTATATGTTGTCTACTACCTAGTTAACTTATGAACTATCATTTATACTTGTGCGAAATTTCATTAGTTTCAAGTTATAATTTACTAAATTTGATGGGTTTTTGTTTTCCTCTTGGTGGGATGGGGTGGTGGCAAACAGATCCAGATGCTCAAGTTATTGCTCTTTCACCGACAACACTCATGACCACTAACAGATTCATCTGTGAAATTTGTAACAAAGGCTTCAGAAGGGACCAAAATTTGCAGCTTCACAGAAGAGGACACAATCTTCCATGGAAGCTTAAGCAAAGGGCGAACAAAGATCAGATAATAAAGAAGGTTTACGTATGCCCAGAAAAGACTTGTGTTCACCATGATCCGTCCCGAGCTCTCGGCGACCTCACCGGCATCAAGAAGCATTTCAGCAGGAAGCATGGTGAAAAGAAATGGAAATGTGAAAAATGTTCCAAAAAATATGCAGTACAATCAGACTGGAAAGCTCATTCTAAGACTTGTGGGACTAGAGAATACAAATGTGACTGTGGTACACTCTTTTCCAGGTATTTAATTCTACTAGAAAACATGTTCTTGTTTGGGAATATTTGTTCTAAGAAATAAATGCCAACAGCCACAAGCTTTAATTGCTTTTTTGAGTATGAATTTATTGCTGACTAATGATTTGATTTTAACTGTTTAAACATGTATTCAATTATTAGAAAAGTACAAAAAATTATGCATTTAGAATTTAGTCTTGCATAATTTATGTGACGACGAAACATCAACTCGAAACGGTACTACTTTGCAATCATGTTGAACTATTTTGTCTAAAAATTTTCTGAGCTATGAGAAACTCGATAAGTTAATTAATTTATTCAAATTTTAGTCTTCAGTACCATATTCAATATTCTTATCTGAGGTTTTCCTTCTTCCATTAACGCAGGAAAGATAGTTTCATCACACATAGAGCTTTCTGTGATGCCTTAGGAGAAGAGAGTGCAAGATCAATGATTACTGTTTCAGCTAACAATTTGAACTTCAGAAATGATAATCTAAATGGTACAATGATGAACCCTAATTTTCCTCATGGGTTCAATGTTTCCACTGGAATTTCTCAAGCTGAAGCTGTTTTCAAGTCAGATTATAATGATGTGATTTCTGGGAATTCTCTTGTTGGAGATCAACAGAAGCCAAGACTATCACTTTGGTTGGATCAAGCTAATTCTCATCAGCTCAGTTTCATAGACATGAATTGCAATTCAAGTCTTTTCATTCCTTCAAGTTCAACTGGTTTACCAGATATGCCTCAAATGACATCTTCATTGGGAAATTATGCGTTGCCACATCGACAAGGCCTAATGGAGGAGGAAGTAATTGGCAAAAGGAGTACAATGGATCAAAGCCTTGCTTCTCTATACTCAGATAATAAAAAACACCAGTCGAATTCTTCGGCATCAATGTCAGCTACTGCACTTCTGCAGAAGGCAGCGCAGATGGGCTCTACCAAAAGCAGTCCAACATTCTTTGGCAATGCATTTGGGGTGTTAAACTCTTCATCTTCTTCTTCATCTAATTCCCCGAATGCTAATTCTTTAGCTCAAAATAGAAGTGAACTGCACCAGGTTTTTGGCGAACAGCCCAAGAATTTAAGCGGCAAAGCTAGAGATTCAATGATGGGAGGATCAAATTTGACGCAAACAAGTGCAACACAAAGCCAAGCATTTTCAATAAACTTGAATGGTGTGGAGCACAGTCTCACCAGGGATTTCCTTGGCATGGGAGGTGAAGGTGGCAATCCATTCTTGCCAGAACAACTGGCTAAATTTGCTTCAATGAGTTCTGCAATGGGGTTGAGCCAATTCACTAGCAATCACTAGCTAGCATGGCTCCATCCGTGTTTACGTAGTCAGTCCAAAACTTGGATAAGCAAGGAAAGGACGGTTGCACATTGTCAACTATCGTGAAACTTTATTTAATTTTATGACATGAATCTTAATGTGAAACTATATATGTAATGCAATATCTCCATCGATTAGGTTTCACGTACCAATTCTTTTCTATTTCGGACACCTTTTGAAAATCGAGATTCTACTAGTCCAACCATTTAATGCCACACCAATTCAATCAGGGCGAATCCAGAAATCAAGGTGAGCACGGGCAGAGCGATAGCCTAATATAAAGAAATTTTTTTTCCAACGGAGCCAGGGCGATGGTAGGGGCTCACCGGGTGCTAGCTCCACCTCGAGCCCAACCCCCTAACCCACCTCAAAACGGGAAGGAGAGATAAGGAAAGGAATGTAAGAAATCATTGAGAATGATAGAGCTGGCTAAGAGTCAACTCTGGTGTTCTATATGTGATATCTGAGACACTTATGTTGAAATTATTGGCACATCAAATTATGAAATTATGAGTTTTGGACGAGTTAATTGACTTACTTCGACTATTTTCCATAAATTATTTTCAGTGGAAGATAGCCTGATATGTTATTACACTTGTAAGTGTTTGTACTTACAGAGCATATCAGAATACCAATAAAAATTAAAATTGAAGCAATATATATATGATCATCAGTAACGAGAATTATGAAAGAACTGGTGAATCCCTGACTTAATGTACTTTTTTTCTTATCCTAATCTTTGTACTTGTGTATAAACTAAAAATAAACACCTTGAATATAGAGAAGAATGTTAGACAGTAAAAAGACAGTTTGACTTGAAATCTTGAAACCATTAATTGTAGGGGAACCTTGTCTAAAGACAGTTTGACTTTCCAATTAACTTTACTAGGACTTCGGAAAATCCAAGTTTAGTTGTTGGGTCTTCTAAGGGTATTCTTATAGCCTGTTTGGTAAAACTTCTCCTTTTCTACAGTAAATCAATTCTCATTTTCAACCACACATTCTTCAATAAAATAATATTTTCCATCACATCAATACTTTTTTCTTCTTTTTCAACCACACATTTCCCATCATATCACTATTCAAAAATCAATTTTTCTCCTAAAAATCCCTACCAAACACACTCTTAATTCTATTTTTACTGAAGTTTTGACACGTAAGGGTCCATTTGATTGCAACTATAAAATTTGAGTGGAAATAAAATGAATTATAGAGAATTAAATTGCCTAGAATTTATTTTATTGAGAATTATAATTAATTGCATTTGATTGGTATAATTTTTCACCTGAAAAATGTTGAAAGTTTGGTGTCCGTTTGACTTCGTTTTCATGGAAATTATCCATTAAAGTGATAATTTTTTTACTATTAGGTCTAAAATTTGTTCCAATTGCCAAAAAATAAAATAAAAATTAAAAATATATATATATATATATATGATCATCAGTAACGAGAATTATGAAAGAACTGGTGAATCCCTGACTTAAATGTACTTTTTTTTCTTATGCTAATCTTTGTACTTGTGTATAAACTAAAAATAAACACCTTGAAAATAGAGAAGAATGTTAGACAGTAAAAAGACAGTTTGACTTGAAATCTTGAAACCATTAATTGTAAGGGAACCTTGTCTAAAGACAGTTTGACTTTCCAATTAACTTTACTAGGACTTCGGAAACTCCAAGTTTAGTTGTTGGGTCTTCTAAGGGTATTCTTAATTCTATTTTTACTGAAGTTTTGACACGTAAGGGTCCGTTTGATTGCAAATATGAAATTTGGGTGAAAATAAAATGAATTATAGAGAATTAAATTGCCTAAAATTTATTTTATTGAGAATTATAATTAATTGCATTTGATTGGTATAATTTTTCACCTGAAAAATGTTGAAAGTTTGGTATCCGTTTGACTTCGTTTTCATGGAAATTATCCATTAAAGTGATAATTTTTTTTACCAGTAGATCTAAAATTTGTTCCAATTGTCAAAAAATAAAATAAAAATTAAAAAAAATATTACCATACCAAATACCATTCGTTTGACTTTATTTTTCATGAAAATTGTCAATTAAAGGAATATAATTTGTTACAATTGGGAATATAATTCATTCCAATTGCCAAAAAAAAAAGTAGCTTGAAAAATCAATTCTCACCACATTTAAATATTTTACATGTAAACCAAAACTTTTTCTTACTTTTTAACCACACGTTCTCTAAAAATTTACGATTTTTAATTTAAATTTTTTTTTAAATGACTACAGACATGGGCTAAATGTCAAAATTTTTAGAGACAAAGATCTAGTTTAAGATAAGAGCGAGGCTTTATCATATTATTAATCTTGAAACACTTCACTAAAGGCCATAGACCGCACTACCAAGTTATAAAAATCATAGAAGCTAAATATTTTCCGTATTTACATCCTCAGACTAACAATCTTTATGTTTTACCTTGTTCGACACCCGATAACTAGACTTTGGCTAAAATGATTTTGGTCTTAAGAACACTGATTTTAAGAATGAATGATTGTCCTTATTCGATCCTCACTACACAACCTGAGAATAGACAGCTACTCGTTCTGCTTTTCTAATAATTTTTTTTTTTACTTAAACTCACATTTAAAACAACATTATTTCATTGTAAAGAAATCACGCACTAGCCATCACTATATAATGAGCTCAGAATCAAATCGTTTGACATAAAATACTTAAGATTACAAATGGGGAGACGATTTCCTATTGCAAATACTCGTTCACTACTTCAATTAATATAAGCTCATTACATATCCATGTAAAAACTCGAGCCCGAGAATAGTGTCCACCATCCTTTTCAAGATTTAAGTAATGTCGAATAACTTCCAAGTACATTAGTCCACTTCTTTGGGAGATCCACTTTCAATAGCCAAGATATGTTTCACTTCAATTGGTGGAGCAATTGACCCTTCGACCTTATCACCACAAAGTGTCAACCTATGATATCCAGTCTAATCCTAACTAGTTATCGATCGAAATATAAATTCCATCTACCTTTGCTTCTTTACGCATGCTCAACTTATATTGTTACAAAGTAATAGATGGACCTTCATTGCATACTCTAATAAGCCCCCGTTTAATGGCCATTATTTGGTCAAAACAATGTTTTGAAAAATGATTTTTACGAGAATGTGTGTTTTAAAAGTAGAAATTTTTTTTGAGTTTATGTGTAGAATATTTTATTATCTGAATGTATGGTTGAAAATGAGTATGTAGTAATTTTTTTTTTCAAATAATGGTTGTCAAACATGGGTTAAATAACATTATGCAATTATTTAGATAAGCAACTAATGGAGGTGTAAATAGTTGTGATGGTTTATGGCTTTTCAAATAGGGATGTAAACGAGTGTGAGCCAAAGATTATGGTTCGGGTGCGGCCTGGACAAAAAATGGCTCAAGTATTTTTAGCCCGAGTTGGGCCAAAGCTCGATTGAAAACTGAGATTCGGCTCGAGCTTTAGGCACAGGCCTTATCGAGCCAACTCGATTTTTTTTAAGATAGGCCGTAGGTTGCCTGCAAGCAAGCTGCTGTCTGAAGCAGCATGTAGCCGGGCTTGTGACACGGGCCGACCCCTTGAGCCACATGGCCGACTCGGGCTCAAGTTGTCATTTGAAAAGGAGGCTCGATTCCATCGGGTTGTGAGTCAAGTCAACTCGTGCTTTTTACCAGCCAAGTCTCGGATTACTCAAGCCGACGAACTAGATTGACATCCCTAGTTTCAAATTTGGGATGCATCTGAGGGTTTCCTTAATGGAGGTGGCATCAACGATTGTGTTGATGATGGTTGATGTTGCTAGTGGGCTAGTGGCGATGGAAGTGAAGGTTGAGTGTAATGTATAGACTTCAGTGCATTGTGTGTATACACAGTATTTTTAGAAGTAAAACTATGAACAACAAGTATAAAATGTGGAAATTACACCCACGTGTGATTTTTAACTTTCCAATTCAAAAATCAAGTTTAAAAGTTTTCTTTATTCAAAAATCATATGATAATTCAAATTTTTAATACTAATAATATTATAAAATTAAATTAATCCCCACCACCCCCCCCCCCACATTTCACTTATAAATCCTAAATTATTATTATCCTCCTCTATCATCTCTTTTCTCTCTCTTTATCACACATGGAAGATCACTGTCGAAGATCATCGGCAAGTGTCGATGCACAGCGGTGCAAATGTCACTGTGCAACGACGATGGTTTTGGGATGGTTTCTTCCTCATCCAATATGCTGCTTAGCCGAAGTTTTTGAGTGGTTTTTGTTGGTGGTTTGAAAATGGTGGTGTTGGTACTAGTGCTGGTTTGGCAATGATTGTAAGGTGATGGTGGTGTATGTGCAGGTGGTTGTGGTGCTGGCAATAGTGGTGCTCGCGATGATGGTGAGGTGATTGTGGTTTAATGGTGTTGTTGGTGCGACAATAATGGTGTAGATTGTAGTGGTGGTGAGGTAGTGCGACGTTCAACTCGATAGTGAATTAGGGTCAGGGTTGAGTCGATCAGGTGGGATGAAGAGTGTTTGTGATCAATTATTTGAGTGATTGTGATCAATAAATTGGTTAATTTTGATCAATAAATAATTTGTAACCTATAAAATAGATAATTTGAAACCTAAAAATTGTAAGATTAGATTTGTGACGTGACTCAAAATTTGTTAAGTTATGATCAATTAATTTAATAATTTGTGATCGTGAAATAAGTTGTGAATTATAAAATTCGTGATTTGTGATCGAAAAATAATACGTGATCTATTAATTTGATAATTTGTGATTTATAAAATTTGTGAATTGTAACAGAGAAATAATGTATGACCAATTAATTTGATAATTTGTAAATGATAAATAAATTGCGATCGATAAAATTTATGATTTGTGAACATCCTGTGATTGTTATTAGTACGTAATTATGATCATAAACTGTATAATATTGTAACCTTAATATATATAATTAATAAATATTTTTAATTATCTATGTAATTAATAATATTTGACTATGACCTAATTTCTGAAACTTTAAAATAATTTTTTAAATTTTGAACTTGTATCTTTCGAACACCTTAGATATGTATTAGTTCGCAAATAAAAGTGGTAATTACCTAAAATCATGTGTTTAGTTTGATATTTTTAAAAATCAGGTTTACACTTTATTTAATTAAAAATCAGATTTTAATTTCACAATTAATATCCTTATTCGATCCTCACTACACAACATGAGAATAGACAGCTACTCGTTCTGCTTTTCTAATAATTTTTTTTTACTTAAACTCACATTTAAAACAACATTATTTCATTGTAGAGAAATCACACACTAGCCATCACTATAAAATGAGCTTAGATTCAAATCATTTGACATAAAATACTTAAGATTACAAATGGGGAGACGATTTCCTATTGCAAATACTCGTTCACTACTTCAATTAATATAAGCTCATTACATATCCATGTAAAAACTCGAGCCCGAGAATGGTGTCCACCATCCTTTTCAAGATTTAAGTAATGTCGAACAACTTCTAAGTACATTAGTCCACTACTTTGGGAGATCCGCTTTCCATAGCCAAGATATGTTTCACTTCAATTGGAGGAGCAATTGACCATACGACCTTATCACCACAAAGTGTCAACCTATGATATCCAATCTAATCCTAACTAGTTATCGATCGAAATATAAATTCCATCTACCTTTGCTTCTTTACGCATGCTCAACTTATATTGTTACAAAGCAATAGATGGACCTTTATCACATACTCTAATAAGGCCATGTTTAATGGCCATTATTTGGTCAAAATAATGTTTTGAAAAATGATTTTTACGAGAATGTGTGTTTAAAAAGTAGAAATTTTTTTTAGTTTATGTGTAGAATATTTTATTGTCTAAATGTATGGTTGAAAATAAGTATGAAGTAATTTTTTTTTTCAAATAATGGTTGTCAAACATGGGTTAAATAACATTATGCAATTATTTAGATAAGCAACTAATGGAGGTGTAAATAGGGATGACAACGGTTCGGTTCGGGGTCGGTTTGGCCAAAACCATAACCGCACCACCAAATTTTTGGCCATACCATAACCGCACCATAACCACGAAAGTTGGTTCGGTTCGGCTCGATTAATATCTCGGTTCGGTTCGGTTAATAACCACGAAAATAAATTATTTTTTATAAATTCAAACTCCAACTGTCAAATTGAAAAAAAAAATATGAAGAAAAGTCAATAAAAGAAATCATGTCAAGACATCTAAAAAATAAAACACATCAATCGAACATAAAGAGCCAGTAGTTTGAGTTCGGTAGTTTTATCTGATCAGAATTCACAATCACCTCCAGAAAGCAGCAGAAGACTGGAGAATTTGTGATTTCATGCCATTAAAAAACATAAAAGAAAGACAAAATCAACATTGATATATTCAATCTGGTTGAAAAACAAATCTTAATAGGTCATTCTTCAATGCACATCACATGTTCAACTTCAACAGAAAGCATGTTTAATCAAACAAATCCCAAGATCTCAAACATGTTTCATTAAAAAAAGAAAACTAGACACATGAATCACCTTGAAGACTTAAATCGATTTGAAATTGGAGAAATTGGAGAGAAATCAAAGCTAATCATAAGGCTATCAATGTTATTCATAAACAAATCTTTATCAATTTTTATGTAATGCCCATTACAGATTCAACTGAAAGATTGCTAAATCAAACGTATCCCAAGATTTTAAACATGATAAATTGTGAAAAATAAAATTCGGATGTATCATGAAAACTCAAAATTGACCGGAATTGGGGTAACCGGAGAAAAAACCAAAACTAATCATTAAACTACCAATGTTAATTGAAAACCAAACTTCATAGATTCTTCTTCATTAATCATTGCAGATTCAATAGAAATACTG